ATATCACGCACGACCGCCTTTTCATTGAACTTTATCGTTTTTCCATCCCAAGCGCAATAACTGACGAAGATCATGCAATCTTTAAACGTGCTTTAACACTTATTCGCGTCCTTTAACATTATACATCCGTATTTATTGTGTATTCGTCAAGTTACATGTCATTTGTTCCTCATTTTCTAATAGACATATTATAAAAAGCACAGTCAACCAACAAACACAGTCTGCAGGAGCAAAAGATCGCTCCTCCAGGCTGGCTCTGGCTGGCCAGTGGCCATGGCCGTCGCCGTGAGCTCCGTGGCGCCTGTCGAGGCAGTGCGGGTCAGTCTACCTTTCAGGCGTTACACTGCGCCGCACAGCTGCCGCGTCATGCGGTACAGCCTACCTCACAGGCAAACCGGCTCATGCCGTTAGTCACGCAGCGGAGAGGAGCTGATTTCCATAAGTCAGGGAATGTCACCATGAGCCTGAATCGGACTTTTTTGTTACACATGACAACCATTACTTTTTAGCACGAAATGACATCTACGTCTCGATGCCTCTACGAATGACATCTACGAATCGATACCTACGTCTCGATGGTATGATAAACGGGCATGGGACTGAAGTCTACAGAGAACATTTTATCAACCATTTTACGTAGGTAGGTACGCGCCATACGGCATACCTATTTATTGAGACACCATACCAGTACGAGTTAATAGATTTATATCAAACTTGTGTAGTGTACCCACACGGACACTGTTTCGATAATCATGCTTGTCTATCTTACATCTCCAATTATTTTAGCTTATTGTTAACCACCGGGCTAGGACAACGTCTGTAAGCAACGCAGCCTCTACCATACTTCCAGTTGAAAGTCCTTTACAAAACACAGCACTGAGGGCTTATAATCCAGTACAACAGTGGGCGTGCAGCCGCTCCCACACAAAAGCTGACGTGACTCCAGCCTTTGATAAAGGCGACTGGTGATGCAACAAAAACGTCTGCCGCTGCGGGGGGGGGGGCGCCGATGGCCCGCCGATGCGCGTCCACCGCCCGCTGGGTGTTTGTCGCTCCGCGGCCCGGCCCTGCCTTGTCATCGTGCCACGGATGCACATGCACTGTGCAGTGGAGGTGACAGTAGTCATTCCATGCAAACATCGGACTGTGATCGAATAAATGGAGTGGTTGATTGACAAGCTAAGCGATACGTATATGCTTATAATGTGCTACCGGTGGTATTTTTCTGCACAATTATGATATAGTATTTAGCTAATTTATGTAGCTGCCGACCAAGTTTTTTGTGTCCGTACTGATCGGCATATGCACGGTCGTGGAATGGTTGATGTGGGCGCCCAACTTCACCGTCTTCATTCAAGCACTGAATATGTGAGTACGTCTATCGTCCGAGACCACGCTGGAGTTAACGGCCCTCCGTTCCCAGATAAGCTGTTTGTTGACAGTGTGCCGGGACGTGCACTGTCCGTCACTATCAGCTCCCTGTGCGTCGGCAGCGCTCCCCGCTCGATTTCACCCCGCGATGACACGCTACACGAGGCGGGGCCATTCAATGCCGACTCAACTGGCCCCGATGATGTGTTCAAGTAGCTGGAATGGATTGTGCAATCCACAGAGTAACGTGTTCATCGGAGGGAAGATGCGAACCTGCATTTGCCATATCCATTTGCCCACCCATGCTGCGAATTTCCCAATCGCATTGGGTTGGACGAGATTTAGGCGCTATTTTTCATTTAAAGTCATAGACGAAATGGAAAAAGAGAACCACCGCCAACCGGTGCATGGCGATGGTTTCCCTACTTGGAAATGCCGGTGTCACAGGGAGCCGGCTTAGGTCGAAGCCCCCGGTTGTCTGCTTTTAAAGAGTGGATTTTAGAAACACAATGGATAGTCATTTGGTACATATATGCTTTAAAGAATTAAAGATCACGAAATGGTGGCGGCAAATGGTTGTTGTTAGAACCGTTGGTAATAAGTGTCATTTACGATGATATCGATTCCACGATGTTTCTAGCAAGAGGTGCAGTGACTTATTGGAATTTGTATCTGGGGCTGCAGATTTACCAAGCAGGGTACAAGAATATAGGTTCCGGTCCCGTAGCTCAGTCGGTAGAGCGTTGGACTCCACGTGGTGAGAGCACGCGTTCCCGGTTACAACAGTACGGGTTCGAAGCGCGACGGGCGCTTAACATTTATGGGCCTCCTGACAGGTATGGTTGTAGTTTGTGGCAGGCCGTAGCCAGGCAAAGTCAGTGAGGGGACCGGCCGTGCGCAGCTTTGTGCGCACGTTTAACTTTGGACTCTAAATCTGTCATACTCGTAGAACCGGAATTACGCGATCGGAGGGTAGAGGGCAGGGTCAACGCAACAGGCTCCGCTTAGCGGGGGCTCTGTCCTTGAGTCCTTCCAATCAAAGGCTCGGACTAAATTTATAAAAAAAAGAATTCTGTTTTAACCCTATTAGTGGCAGGCTCCTGGCTACCCCATATTAGTGGCAGGGCGGGGGGGGGGCTGTTTACGACCCCCCCTTGATATCTCGAGATCTAACCGGCCGATTTTCAAAATTCAAAAGGCATTCGATTTGGCTCAACGAGATCTACATTTCTAAAAAAAAATTAAAAATGTCAATAGGGGGGTAGAGGGGGGTAAAAACGGGCAAATTGCAGATACATTTTAGACTGTTTATCACGGTTAGGTTTCTGAACCAATCTTAACGCAACTTTTGCCGATCGATAGAGCATGAACCAGGAATTCACATGGATCCTAAAAATATGCATTTTAAAAAATCATAGGCGGATACAGATCATTGAGATTGGGGGTACACAAAAAGTATAGTAAATAAGGTTTTTGTTGGTACTGTTTCTAAAAAGGGTGGCAATGGTCTTGTTATGTTACAATTTTCTTATGAGAGAACGACTAAAATTGTATTGGTCATGCATAGGCGGTGTCAGGGCACCTATGTTGGGAGGTAAAAAATAACCCCCCTTTTTGGACGCCTGGATCCGCCTATTATAGCAAAAACGTGTCAAAAGAGGATGCACAATAACTTTGTATATGTTATCACATGATACCTTTCATTCACTGTTCGTAAAACTGGTGCAGCATCGTGATCTTCGCCCAAATGACTCGCTTCACGAATAGGACCCCCAATTCCCAGTACTCTGGAGCCGCCCCTGGTAAAGTTATGAACTTGAAATTTTCAGGGAATGTGCCCAATTTAGTTTAAGGAAAAGTCAGAAAATTTCAGCATCGTAGCTTCAGCGGTTTCGGAGATATTCCCGAAAAACCTGAGGGGTGGATAAAAACAACCCCCCCCCTGCCACTAATAGGGTTAAACACGATAAAAAAGCAGTTATGATATGGCTAAATATATTATACATTTACATGAAAGCCGACACAAGGCACTCTGTTATGCATTGCATACACGTTGTAGCGATATGGTTAAAATAATCGCATTTATGTGCAGAATATAGGTATAAAACATGATTGATTTATCTAACCGGAAGGCCGTCTAAACCGGTCTAAACAAACAGGAAGAAACGGTCCAGACTTGTCTTCATGTTCCGACCTTCAGGCTTCAAGTACTACATGGGAAAATGTTATCGGTTGACTGATAGGTACCTGGAATAATGCACAGCTTTGTCGCGTTTAATTATTTCCCTTTACGTCTCAATAATGCTAGGACGACTGGCTAAACCGAGGTGCATTAGGGTAATGTCATAGGTCTGCTTCTATTTATGACTGCACTAATATGGGTGACTTTTAGCTAACGAGCACCCGCTATTTGATCAGATTTCAGCAACACCTATACGCCCGGCAGAGTCCAGTCCTCGTTATAGGATGACCAAAGTTACGCACCTTGTCAGCTCAACCAGCACCATTGGACAGGATCGGCCCACGCTACGATCAACTAACGAGTCTCTCGGAGACCGAACCGACTCGTGGGTGGAGCTGATAAGTGACTGTGCAGGGGCTATCCTGTGCAGGACGGAGCATAACGAGCTTTTGCGCAAAGAACATCGGTGTCTGACCACTTAGTGTGCATCTCAATAATGTGACCGATCCCGTAAGATAGTATTTGGAAACAGCTGGAGAACTAAAATAGCACCGCGTCTTGTTATCGATCATTATATGAACGGTTAAGATTTGGGTGCAAACGGCCAACAATATCCAACTTGTGACGACAAATCTGAGGACGATATGCCTAACACTTTTTCTGAATGGGATGCAATGTTCGATCCACATACGATTGATAAAACAAAGCACACATGAGACGTGAAGCAAGCTGCGACAATTATCTGGCTGCAGAGGTAGCCCTGGCGAGCGGTCAAAACCTACGGATGGTTTTCGTGATGGGCTTGGACAACGAGCTTTATACCAAATGCTGATTGATGTTCCCACTTCATGCAGTTAACAGCAGTTCGTTCAATGCATTCCTATGTTTATTCTCCAAACATTATCGATATTTTGGTTTTATTGTATCAAGATATTTATGATAAGAAAGTTTAGATGCCTTAACATGTTTTTTTTTTTTTTTTAGTTTCGATATCCGAAAAGGTGTGTTACGAAATGATTAAATTGTGATTTTCAACATTTTCTCAGCTGTTGTCACAGCAGAAAACTAACCTGCGTGCCTGGAAATATTCATATAATGCATACCTATAGCATTCTCCCACACCTTCCTACGCAATGCATGTGCTCGTATGCGAGCTTCCTCCCCTCTGCAACTGAGCCCTCGCCCTCCCACCGTCGGAGGGGTCACAACAACACCACGCCGGCACGTGGCTGCCCGCCGCAGGCTCCACGGCCGTCAAACGCGCGACAAATCGACCCCGGCCGTGCGCACTGACGGTGGTAAACAGCTTTTTCAACGGCGCGGCGGCGTGGCGGCGGCAGCGGCGGCGCTGCGGGGGAGGGCAGGGCGACAGGCTGACGAGCTGGCGCTGCGCTGTGTGCGAGCGAGGCGACCGCGACCGCTGCGAGCCCAGTTGGGCGCACGGGAGCACGCGGTGAGGGGGACAGGACAGGTTAGGGAGCCCTGGCGCTGAGACGCGGAGGCGAGTGATTAGTGGGGTCGCGGCGACGGGACCGACGGCGGATGGGTCACATCTGGCTCCGGTGAAGCGGAAACTGGAAACGCAGACGGATCTTTCAAAGGTAAGTGACCAGTTTTATTTTTTATTGACCCGATAAAACCAACGATATAGAAGGAAAACTGTTTAAAGTTCTTTTAGTTAAGTTCCTTGTCGTAGAATTTTATTTTAGAAATAGAATATAATTACATTTTAAAGCATGACAAAGGCACCTACTAGTTTGACTAATTCTCTGCGTTCCTTGAGTGTAATCGATGTTACGTTTAATCAACGCACTTCCTTGTGCCAAGGTCCTGAAACTGCCTGGGGTACCGTCTACATACATCAGCCGTTTTCAGGATGGGCTATCTGGCGAATGCACCTGCTTTGACCAAATCTGCACCAATTCTTTTATACAACAAATATTTTCATATATTTAAATTATTTAAGTGTGTTAATAGAAAATAATGTTTACAACCTTACGCTGGTAGCGGTAGGTAGAAAAATATTGTTTTGATGATTGTTATTGATAAATTGTTTTCTAAACACCAATCGACCTATTGGGTTCACAGAAAATGATGAGGGCGCAATGAGGAGACCGGGCGCAGATTGGGCACTCTCCCCTAAAGAGAAACGGGTAACTAAAGAAATATTCTGGAAGACGGCAGGGTCGTAGAAAACGATTTATAAAGTACCCATAAGTTTCGACAAGTGACCAAGGCTTTTCGATTGATTTTAATGAAAAAACTGTCCTTGCACTCCGTCGTTCTCCAATTCCAATTATTTCGCGCAAACATAGTTAAAGTCGATAGGTGAATCTGTCTACAAACACCGTTTAGACATACGTTAGGTCTACATAGGTGTTAACATTACGAGTAGTTTCATTTCTTTGGAATGCACGGTCGTATGATGAAACTTGAGTGAAGTCACGACGGTTTTCACATGGTTCTATGTACGTGCAATCACTTGAGCCAAAAATAGCAGTGACCTTTCTGCGTTCCATGAGCAAATAGTGTCACATACGGTACGACACAGCAATGGCATTTGTGCAGAAGTAACAGCAAACCGAGCCGCGTGTCTTCTTCGGATTGCAGTTTACGTTCATGATATCATTACTCCGTCGACGGAAGCTCATGCCTTCTGTACAGTGCTGTACAATGAAGTAATCACTCTATTTTTATCTCCATGCAGACAGTTTGTTGCAATGACATGGCGCGAAAACATTGAAACGTTATACTGCTGTCGACTGAAAGAGAATGCCTTTGATCTCGAATCAGATGTGAGAGAATACACGATAGACACTTTAGATATCTGATAGACCTCCGCGAGATAGTCTATTATTTTGATGAAGCGCATTAGGTATAACACAAAACCGTTACCGAAATACCTGATGGCTAGTGGAGTGCTGAGTTGTATTTCAGCGCCCACACAGATCAGTCAGGAAGAGTATTGAAAGCATTATCTATTTAAGATAATCCTTTCAATAGGTACTCTATAAGTGTGGATTATCTATTTTTAATGGAAGTTCGATTGTAAACGCATTAGTATTGGAGAACAATAACACCAATGATAAATTATTTTCCAGATTGTCATGTAGATACTTTCGAAAATGAGCTTAAATATGGGACTGGGAGTGTATTAAAATAAAATGTTACCCCATATACAGTTAGTCAATTTCGCAAACATAATGCGAAACACCAATTACAGAGATATCAGAATTACAGGCAGCATAAATAATCCAACTTTAACCAATTCCAATCGCCAGTAAACTTTGATCCATTTTTCAGACCTTCCACCATGTTGGAGTGGTTAGCGGCCTGCCTCGTGGTTGTTATGCTGGCGATGATTGTTCGGGAAATCTTCCGGAAGCCGGCGAACTTTCCACCAGGTAAGTAAAAGAGAAACGTGGACGATCGCAATCAGCTTTGTTTGGATCATTCATTAGTTATCTTGCATATTTAGTCACATTACACTAACAGGCATAGGTATGAACCCTTCAGGAGTGAAGTCAATCGATCAAACAATCGATATAATAATTAAAGAGCTCATTTACCCTCAATCACCATGATTATTTAAAAAGACAACACTAAAAAGAAGTGTAAAAAGGTCAGTTCCATCAGGTAGAGGGCAGCGCAATGCGCTTTGTATCAATCATATTATTTTCTTCATGTTGACATGAGTCACCGTGAACGTTCCGATCACTCACGTGGGTGCTTTCCAGCTGGACTCAGCAGCAGACTATCACGTTTTGTGCGTGCTGCAGGTCCTCCGGTAGTCCCGCTCCTTGGAAGCTCGGTGGCGATCAAGCTTGGGTCGACTCTCCCGCATCTGGTGTTCGAGAGCCTCGGCAAGATATACGGAAAAATCATTGGTAAGGACGTGTCATGAATGAATGAATGAATGAATGAATGAATGAATGAATGAATGAATGAATGAATAAATAAATGAATGAATAAATGAATGAATGGATGAATGAATGAATGAGCGAGCGAATGAATGAATGGATGGATGGATGAATGAAGAAACGGAGGAGCAAACGAACAAACCAACTAAATGAATGAGGGGATGGATAGAACTTGAACAAACAAACGAATACATTGAATGATTGAATGAGCGAATCACAGCCTGACTGGTATAGGTATCAGCAAAACATAAAACAATATCTTAATTCACGGATTTAATAAATTAAATACACCAGGGTCAAATGCATTATATGGCATACTGGAGTCTAGGAAACACGTATCGGCGGTACATCAATGATAACTGATATCGTTTTTGATGCTCCAGGCTTCTACCTGTTTGGACAGCCCGTGATCATTCTGCGGGACTACGATCTGATACACGAAGCATTCAGCAAGACAGAGTTTTCCGGTCGTGAGCAGACGTTTGTCATACAAAACCGGTCCTTCTTCATGGGAAACGGTAAGTGCCAAGTGGAACGGTCTGCGGTTGGCTGGGGCTCTCAGCAATATAGGCATTGCAGCATGTTTGACTATTTATTCACTGTTGTTCATTGCACGATAGGGATTTGCTTGTGAACGGCCGAAACGCGTTGTAACTTGTATGTTCCACGCGGCACGCAGTGTGGGACAGAATCATATCTAATCGTTGGTTTGTTGCCGGACAGTAGCTGATTTGTCGTTCATTACTTCGCAAGCGCATAAACATTGCCTCACTTTGTATTGCTGAGCAAAAATATGCCTCATCTATTCCGTAACAAGATTGTGTGTATTGCGGAACAGTATCATGTGTATAGCGGTACAGTATCCTGTGTGCATTGTGGTACAGTCGTGTACAGGTTGATGGTCCCCTACTCTTTATCCACCGGGTTCCTATGGCTCAGCATTGGCAGCAGCCGCCTGGTACCGGTAGGCTGTGCCGCATGACCCGAGAGTGAAGCGGCACAGCCTACCCACACTGTATGACACCGGCTCGGGTCGCCTGGTAGAGCGATTTGACCGGACGCTGCGTTACACCGGCTGGGGGGAGGGGGTAAAGGTCAGGCCTGTCTATTTGGCTCGGCTCGGTGGATGAGGCGGGCTGGAGTGTGGTGTGGGGCGGGGGTGATGTGGGGAGGGAGTGAGCGGACCTGGGGCTGGGTGTGAGTGGTCACTTGTCGCGTAGAACCGATCGTAATCCACCCTCCAAAAATTCGCTTTAGAGATATTCACAAAACCCAGGGGGGTTCAAACACCCATCTCCCAAGTGGGGTGCCGAAGGACAGGTAAGGGTCCATACGGTCTCCTCATGATTTGCAGCAAAGAAAGAAAACAGACCTGTCACCAAATAATCTTTCTGAAAAGTGGACTAATCGCATAGCCTCGGACACAGAAATAAACATCCAGCACGCGAAGCGTCTCGAACCGGGCCTCTCACTACCGGTCAGTTTGACAGTCTAGCACTCCTACGCTGAGCTACACCGGATCGTGGCCACGGCCGGGGCAAAGTCTGGCCGGGCGGGCGGCGGGGCCGGGAGGTCGGCAGCAAAGTCAATAAATGTTTTTTGTGGTTTCGGGTGTCGGTCGCTCTAGCTTGGTGGAATGATGATGGATCATTGGCAAAACTTTCAACGTGGAGTCCCGGTTCGAGCCTCATCGGGGCTCCGGCTACTTTTCCGAGGTAGGATCTGGTTTGATTTTAGTGGTTGCGAGCCATTTATACGGTTTTATATCTACATGTCGATTGTCGATTGATTGATTGATTCATTCATTCGTTCATTTAATACATGTCGACATTTAGCATACGAATTGACATCCAGGACCAATCCGATCAATCTACTATTTTCATAAGCGTATTGCCTAAATATCATGCATATATGTGGCACAAGACCTATGGTTGCCTCGATACCGTGCCAAATCACGTTTTGCACAATGCACAAGTAAATTATATTCGCTGGGTCTTCCGTGCATTGTGCTTAGCAAAAACAGGAATGCAATTGTTACAGTGGCGGCGGAAGCGGGGGGGCAGCGGGGGCACGGCGCCCCCTATCTTCCAGGGTGGGGGGGCAAACATATCTTTTTGCCCCCCCAAAATTGTTATCGACGAAGTACCACAATACTTCCATACTACCTACGTCAGGAACATATGCCAGTTTGGCTGAGTACCTTTTTATTAAGTTGATATAGCGAGTAACTTGGATTGATAATAGCCGTTTTCACGACGGGCTATCCGGCGAGCTAGTCCGTGACGGACTATTTCCACCAAACGCCCTCCACACATAATGCTCAGAAATCAAGCAGAGCTATCTACGAGCTACCGGTAACCGAAGTCTGGAAGAGTAGGACGGAACGCGAGTGGCCCGGCAGGCGGCACGGACGTCACGAAAGTGCGTCTGAGCGTGCCACAGGCCTTTCCCCGCGACTCTGCCAGACGCCAGCCGGCATAGGCGCGTGAGCCGGGGGGCAGCATGGGGGCAGCCTGCCCCCACAACTCTGGGGCCGTGGGGGTCTCTGCCCCCGCAAAGTTTCAAAGGGCCAGGAACCGTCGGGGCAGCTTGTCCTCCCCATATTAGCGGCCGAGGGCCTCAAAGAAAAGCTGAATGGAAGACAATACCTATTTAAGTAAAAAAATCCCCCTCTGTACGGGGACCCGCAGTTGCTATTGTACACGAACCCCAACTCTAGCCGTCTGTCCTGTCCAGTAACAACCGATAACATTGATATCGACTGCCGGTCCCTGCACAAGAGCAGCTGAGGTTTTCTGTGCGTGCCCTCTGACAGCTTATCGTTGTTCCCTGTGAGGGTGCTGGGACAATTTACTCAGGGTCGCTGTACAGTAGCAACTGCGGGTCCCCGTACCTGACTTGACAGCTCATGTGTGGAAGCTTTAAACGTTTATTCCAGGTTACCAAAAAGGTAGTTTCTTGACTCAGATGAGACTAATTATCTCACTTATTTGCAAATGTTTTATTTTTTATTTTTGTTGTAAAGGCCAAGAGGTGAAAAATAAGTGGCCTAAAACCGGTGAGAAAACTAGATTTGGGGGTACCCTAGGTTCCGGGAAGGATCAGGTGTGCCCCCCCATCCCAAAATACCTTCCGCCGCCACTGAATTGTTAAGCGACGCAAAATGTGCAATGCAGCAAGTGACCACACACACCCGCCCAGCCCCCATGGTCCACCAACACGCCCCACACCACTCGCCAGCCCACGCCAACCACCGAGACGAGCCCCTCCCCCCGCGCTGGTCTGACGCGACAGCTGGTCTACAAAGCGCTCCACCCGGCGACCCGAGCCGATGTCAAACAGCGTGGGTAGACTGTGCCGCTTCACTCTCGGGTCTTGCGGCACAGCCTACCGGTACCAGGCGGCTGCTGCCAATGCTGAGCCATAGGAACCCGATGGATAAAGAGAAGGGGACCATCAACCTGTACACGACTGTACAGTATCAATCGTGCATTGCGATTATACGGTATCATATGTGCATTGCGGAACAGTATCTGTGTGCATTGCGGCACAGTATCCTGTGTGCATTGCGGAACAGTATCGTGTGGTTCGCAGGCCAGTAATAAATCGCACACGTCAGTTACACGATAAAATGCGTAGAATGCGTGGCACTACCGTGCATTAGTTTTGGAACAGAGTCGGACCGTGTGTGTGAGTCTCCTTAATTAAACATTTTCCCCAGTGCCAGCGTCTGCCTTACTTTGAGCTGTAACCCCGTCACCACACCCCGGCCCTGCTCCCTCCCGCAGGCATCATATTCGGCCAGGGCGGCGGCTGGTCACTGCACCGTCGGTTCGCGCTGCAGCAGCTGCACGACCTGGGTGTCGGCCGGCCACGCTCCGAGCTGCTCGTTCAACTGGAGGTGGACGCACTGGTGCGCCGGCTGACCGCCTCCGGGGGCGACCTGGAGGTCAACACCACCTTCTGCATGAGCGGCTGCAACGCACTCCTGCAGCTGGTCGCCGGAAAACGGTACGGAGGAGGGAATATAGGCATTTGGGTGGGTGGGATGGGATGTTGGAGGTAACAGGATGGAGCCCGGTCAGTGAGTAGGTGATCTGTGGGGTAGGTGGTACAGGTCTCGCGGGTTTTAACGGTAGGTTTTGCACCTAGAAAATTTAGTGTACTTCAGGCTATATCTTCGTCGTCTTAAGCTTTTAAGTGTTTTGAAGATGCGATCGACTTGTTGGTTCACAAGCCGGCCATGATCGTGTAAAATGGTTTCATCGTAGATCGATTAGTTTCTGAGATATAATAACCGGAAATGTAAAAGTGAAAAACCTACCGCTTAATCTCGCGAGAGCCGTACATATGACCGTGGGGTAGGGAGTGGATTGTGGACGTAATATGGTTGTCATGACGGAAAGAACTGAGCGTATGCTGAGTTTAGTGGGTATTGGGTTCGACTGGGTTTTAATTTGGTCGTATGCGATGGTAATGGGATGCAATAATTGTCTGGGGAATTAGGCTACAGCTCCATGGTTATGCCACCTACGACCTTACGCTGCGCATTATGGCAAAAATAAAACGGACTCCGTCACCAGAATTACGATTCAGGCTACGTTGTACGTCAACTATATCGGCTCATCAAATTTAAATCTCACGGAACCGGCTGTCATTGTCAGTGGACGGAGTACCAAAATAGCCGGCGGAAACCCGGGACACGTTTGACGTAGGCACCCTTCAATGTATGGGCCGGTCATTGAGTAATCCTTAATGCATTACTCTGAACGTCGTAATAGCGTCTGCGAACTGCGTGACATACTTTAATCAATGCCAGGCATTTGTGATATAAAAGACTCGGATCCGGAGGGGCAATGACACCTATTGGAACAATATGGGCCACAGCATGCACACCCTGGGTCCTGAACGACTTTTGTTCTCCGATTTGTGATATAGACATGCCTCAATAGCTATAAAAAATAGCTAGACATGCCTCAATAGCTATAGCTATTATAGCTTACATGAGCAGTAGACATTGAACACTAATGTTCTCGAACGTTTTCAATGTCTTATATTTATAGGAAGTACAAGTTTCTCTCTACTGCACTAAGCTGCTTAGCATGCCATATAATTTAACAGTTATAATGAAAAAATAATGACAATACCACAAACCCGTATTTGTTCGTCACCCTCTGACGGGTCTGACCCCTCCCCCCAATCGCCCCTCTTCAGGTACGAGCTGGACGATCCCGTGTTTGCCCAGCTGGTGAACGACACGGACCGAGTGATGCGCTTGGCCGGTCCGGGTAACATCCTCTCTCTGCTGCCGTGGGCCCGGCACCTGGCGCCGAGCGCCACCGGCTTCAGGGCCCTCTGCGCCCTGCGCGACACCACCTGCAGTCTGTTCGGGGAGATTGTCGAGGAGCACCGGCGAACGCTGAACGCCGGGAAACCCAGGGACTATGTGGACGCGTTCCTGATTGAAATGGAGAAGGAGGGCGCTAAGGAGAAGGACTTTACGAGTGAGTCGTATGCTCGCCATCTGTAGTACATTTTTTACTCACAGTAAATATCCATTCTTATTTTACTTTTGTTCCACTCTTAATTATCATCGCCACTCTTGTACGGTTTTACTGTGCTTTACTGTGTGTTTTTTTTCGAGTAGGTTTGTGCTGTATGCGTGTTTGATTTTATGAATTGACTTCGTCTTTCAATGGGAATCCCGTCGACGATCTTGGTAAATAAAAAAATAAAAAATAAAATAAATAATGATCTTCACATTTTGATACCACGATTCGGGTATAAGTAACGGGATTGTACAGCACGACTAAAACGTTAGGGTTGAAAAGTGAGCAACAATAAGAATTGCGACCGAATGATAAACGGAAACGCCATTCCTCCATCTGACAACGGTTCCGTATCTCCTTTCAGAGCAGCACCTGGAGATCCTGCTGATGGACCTCTTCCAGGCGGGGATCGAGACCATCAACTCGACGCTGTGCTGGGCGGTGCTGCTGCTGGCCCGCCACCCGGAGGTGCAGGCGCGGCTGCACGCCGAGCTGGACGAGCTGCTGGGTGCCAACTCACTGCGCTGGTCCGATAGACAGAGGTGGGGCCGATGGTGCCCGGCGGTTCAATCACATTTAATGACAGAGATTCACAATGTAAATGTCACATCTGTTCAGTGTTCTTCACCAACGACTCAAGACCACTACATAATGACTAGAAACATGATCATTCATTTATTTCCATTCCACGATAATTGTCCAAAGTGCATGCGATGTCTTATGTAGGTAGGTATTACTGACAGACGACAGTGCTTATAAGACATGTCGCGTCTGACATGTCATGACACTGTTTCAGCCTGCCGTACCTGCAGGCCACCATCAACGAGGTGCACCGGTTCGGCACAGTGACGAACGTATCTGTGCCTCACTTCACCTCCTTCCAGCCGGTCGTCTTCAACGGTGAGTCGGGTGCCCACTGCCCACCCGCGGCGGTAACTTTGATCCGTGATCGCCCGGTAACAGTCGACGTGTACTTAGTGACAAGGGCAGGAACGGAAGATTGTGTTTTGCTGAGTGACTAGCGCAAGTAAGCAGGACTAACTACTCCGGGAAGTAAAGCTAGAAACAAAGGAGCTTTCAGTCACTTCTAACTGTTCATTTTGTTGGCACTTATGGGATCGTTGTAGAAAGAAGGCTCTCGAAATAAAAAGAATCAAATACACATATGTGGGTAACTATAATATCAAACTGGGGAGCGTTTAAATCAACTTATATAAGCCAGTGGCGGCGGATTCGATTTTGGCGTGGGGGGGGGGGGGGGCAAGATCCCAGTCGAGATGATGTCATAGGCGGATCCAGAAAGACGTTTTCGACGCTGTAGGGGACATACCCCCCAAAAAAGTGTCTTAAAATCCAAAAACTACTCGGATTTCGATTCCTTTATACTGCTGATTGCTGAACAGTATAAAGCAAAAACATTCCTGATAAAAGTTTTATTATTAGGAAACATAAGGTAGGTACATACATTTTGTCTATTTCGGGCGATGCAGGGGAAGGGGGAGTAGAGTACATATTTGCTTTAAATGCCCGCTCCCTGGATCCGCCAGTGGACGATGTAACGATTTTCGTATTGCTATATCAGAAAAAAGCTCCAATGGGAAAAATAGTGCCATAACCCGATCGCATATCAGATGTTGAAGAACGGTGCCAAACCTTTTGAAGTAGGCGAGCGCTTTTCTTCAATGAGGTAACTCGTTATTCCTCTGTTCATTTTACGTTCGATTTCCGTTTACCCTTCCTTTAAAAAGTATTTCTGAGACAGATATCAATCCCGCTCACAGCGGGAGGAGACCGCTCAAACATTCAGAGACAGTCGGTCGCATCTAAACCTATTGGGACAGCGATCCGCCAGAAACCCACCCCAAGGCAGTAGTTCGCCAACTAAGCTCACCGAGACGGGCTGGCTCGATGGGTTTATACAGTAAGCCTACAGCAAGGCCTAACTAAGGCCCAAACGCTCGTCAAGCTGGGAACGGAGGTATGAGGTGAGGGAGCGCGGCGGCAGGCTAGGGTGAAGGAGCGGTGGACTGGAGCGAGAATCCAGAAGCTCTGGGTGGGACGTTTCTTTATTAGCGCTTTAGGGTGCGCAGCGCTGACTGCGGTAAGGTCCAAAAAATCACACCAAATTTTGCCACATCTACCGGTTCAGGCACTCGAGAATCAGCGGCCAGTGATATCTACAAAGACAAAGCATTTCCAACCCAGCTTCAACCTGGTGTCAGGGCGTCCCAGGTGGCTTTAATTACAGTTACACATACCAAACGGCCTCAGTGCAGCCAGTCTGTGGCCGAAACCATTCGGAACAGAATTCAACGAAAAGTGAGACAAGGTTAGTGCTATCGTTATGTGCCATTATAGACTTGGACCCCGTTGGCTTGACCCACTGGAAGGTGTTAGTTATCGGACGCTGCGGGGCATACTCATTTTTCCAAAATGCCTTAGATTTTCCTTTCGTGTTCGATGCTCTGTATTCTACATATAGCCAGCCTTTAGCCAGAGGGGGCCCACTAATGATCAGTGCCCTAACCCTCAAAAGTTTCCAACATTAATTTTTACTTATTTAATAGTGAAAACTGAAATAAAGCGGATACTGAACTGTATACATCCAGTTTTTACACTGGCCCCACACAAGCCTCCGAATGCCCAAAGCAGATCTCTGATGACTGGCCTTTGGGTGTTATACCGTGCATTGGTCAATGTGTTCAATGTGTACGACCTCGGCGTTACCATTTTATGCACTGGAAACTGTTGCGCTAAAAAAAATCAGGGGAGTGGCTTATTACGAGCGCTCATCAGTCAACTACCCGCAAGCGAATGGCTAGCCCTTCCGTTTCCGCTCGCTTGCGATTTGGCATTTATGTACAAAAATAGCGGCAAACGACCACTGAAAGTATGAGTTGCGTCTCTTGCGCACTTAAAATATCTCTAAATCGAATCTGAAAAGACAAAAAAAAAGCTATAAAGCGGAAATGGTTAGCATTTACACATATTCAAAAGGCACCGTTGGACAAACTGTAGGAGCGCATAGCTGCAATATCAGGTTATGGAAAATTTCCTCATGTTTAGGGCACAAATTATGGAGGGGCAAGAATACTACGTTTGCCCCTCCTCCAAAAGTTTCTTAGGGATCGATGCCTCCTCTGCCGCCCCGTATCCGTCGCCCCTGTAAGCGGTCACTGAAGGCCTGGGTTGCCGCTGCGTCACGTTGACGCTTATGATGTCTCCAAAACTAGGTTGAAGAGAGGAAAACTTCAAATGAACGCGAACGCTTGTCATTTAAGAAAGGCAACGTATGATTAAGTATAGTTAATCTGGTTACATCTTCAGATGATCGAACAGAATAATCAGGTATATGGTTTCTTGTCTAAGTTTAGTCACAAATTATGGGGGGGCAAAAAGATACTTTTGCCCCCCAAGAGTTTGCCAGGGGGGCAGCTGCCCCCCCTGCCCCCCCCGAATCCGCCGCCCCTGATATAAGCATTGACAGTAAACACTGATTCAAATAGTCACAGTCACCTCAGGTCGTTCGGTCGAAGTCCCGATGAAGTTTTACCATTCAGCAGACTTCTGAGCTCTAAACATAGGCGCCATCATTCCGAACCCACCACCGAAAATAAGCCTGACATCTGAAACGACGTTCCCATTCATCGAAAAAGCGACACAATGTCGTATCACCGTAATGAAACGCTCGTAAATAAGGACCATCTCTGAGAACCGTTGACCGGAAAGGGCCCGTTTCCTGTCGAGGCCACGTGACGTGGGAGGGGAGCGACTGTCGCGATCTCCAGCTCAGCACGTGCCATCGTCAGTCCTGGATAGCCCGTCCGCGCCACAGTTGAGATGACAAGCTCCGGTAGTGGTCTCACACCAGGTATTTTTGACCGAATCGTTCCGTTCCCCGGTGCGAACTAACTAGACAGGCTGAGCCGCTGAACTGCATTTGCCTCTGCATAGTTGGTCGCATAAAAACATCTTTTTAAATAATTGAATCATACATCAGATATCCATCAATCGAAGTCAGTCATCTGCAAGGCTAGTTTGTTTCTCTTTCTCGTCAATGATGGTAACACGCACCGAACTTGAACGCTTGAAATACACAATGACTAACCCATAGGCCTTCCATGCTTGAAGAATAGGTAATACAATATAAAAGACAGTTTCGAAGTTCATGAGGAACTCATGAAAACCCTATTGCATGCCCACATTTTGTAGATATTATACATTGCTGCATCGGATATCCCAGCCTCAGTTGCTCATCACGAGTCTCCATTACAGGGCCATGCGGTACAGCATAACTTCAGGCGTTCGACACCACTGCCATCTATCGACTGAAGAAGTAAACTGGTAACACAGGGGCACCAACCAAACAGACATCATTCCTAGGCTAAAATTTCTCAATAAAGGCTACGTGTCTAGCGTAACGTTCCAACACAAAGCAGCAGCACAGGTTCTCCGAGCACCAAATGACAATCATACCTGCCCGCAGATTACGTGATTCCGCGCAACAGTCTGATCCTACCGGACATTTACCACGTGCACCACGACCCGAGCTACTGGAGCGAGCCGGAGCGGTTCCGACCTGACCGCTTCATCGACCAGAACGGCCAGCTGGTGCACGAGCCGCGACTGCTCATGTTCGGCACCGGTGAGTCGTCGGGGCTCGTGGAGGCTCGGACGAGTCGGTGGCTCACGAGTCACGAATCATTGCTGGGTCGGGCGGTTAGCGAGTCGCGACGGCTGAGCCGTGGGGCTCACGCGAGGCGTTGAGCCAGTCGGCTCATTACGCTTAAAACAGGGCACACCGGTACTCGGTTGCCAATAGTTACTCTTATGAGCCAGGACAGCCAAGTCATTAGCTCGAAGCATTTCTGTTCTTGCCTCAAATGCACTAAAATCATAACACCAAAAGGTCTATTTGAGACCTCCTTTCACGATCTCGGTCTGTGTGCGCAGGTCGCCGCTCCTGCCTGGGCGAGTTGTTTCACGATCCCCGTCTGTGCGCGCAGGTCGCCGCTCCTGCCTGGGCGAGTCGCTGGCCCGGATGGAGGTGTTCCTGTTCGTGGGCGGCCTTCTGCAGGCGTTCCACCTGGAGCTGCCCCCGGACGCGCCGCCGGCCGACCTCAGTCCACAGGCAGGCGTCACGTACAAACCGCGTCCCTTCCGACTGCGGTTCCGACCGCGCCGGCCGGCAGCTCCCGAGCTGAACGTGGCCGCGCTGGCGCTGCGCAGCGAGCAGAACAGCTACTGCATCAAACGCAGCAGCTTCAGCTCCAAGGTGCACTTCAAGGAGGAGCGAGAGATCTGAGCCGGCGGCGGCTGGAGTTGCTGCAACAAATGCTGGTCATGGAGTTGTATGCCAAGTTACCCGTTGTGGCTGAAGTCTGGTACACGCCGTGTATGCGCCTCGTAAGCAGTCGATACGAAGACGATCATTCCGAGATAAGGACAACTTGTGGGATCTTGTGTTCTGTGTCGCTCTCTACAATTATAGACATTAGGTCTCGTAGAGGGTGCTAGTGCTACAAGCCTTCGATATTTGAAGCTTGACCCGTATTTGATCGTACGGACGCACAAGTGTTGAATTTGTGCAGGATCTGTGTGTGAGGTTGTCTGCCCACCCTAGGGACCTGAGCCGTCTTGGGAAGGGACGCCAAAGTGCAGTGCAGTGTCGGCCAAGGGCCGTTCGCTTAGTTATTTCACATGCGCTGGTCGCATTGCTATCCGTTTTTACTTGAACCTTGTATCGCACTGATTCCCTTTGATGAGCTCTTTGTTACGAGTTCAAGACCAAACATTTATCAACCATGCGCTCGAGTAGACTGCAATCACCAGTGCCGCGCACAAGGTTATTATTCAGACTAGCTGAGTCTGCAAAGACATAGTCCAAGCGGGTCCTTGACTCCAGCAGCCATTCAGCAGCGCCGCCCCTATAATTGCTGAACCCCTGCCGTGTAGTGTCATACTCGCCCGCCAGGCGGCACCACCACCGATACCGCGTGACGATCACGGAACAAAGCCTGTTTGTGACGACTGGCCTGTCTGCGGGACGAGCAGTCGTCGCGCACAAAGGCGCTGTCGGCTCTGACTCGGTGGCCGTGTGACACAGACGGTAGTCTGTTCCAGCGGTGTAACTTTCTATATGTATGGGGGTGCAGGTGCACCCCCATCCCCTGAAAGTGCACCCCCATCACGTTAAAGTGCACCCCCATAGGCTAAGCGGCGCCCCACACGCCGCCCGACACCGATAAGCTCTTGATCAAATGGCGAATGTGATTTCCCGGCTACATTCCGTCTCGTGACCGGCGTCGTGCTGCTTGTGGGCTTGGGAAGCGTCCAGTCGTATCGTTCCCCCAAAAAAATGGATGAAAGGGGCACCCCGGCAAAAACGGGACTTTCTCAGCAAAAGTGGAGCGCCCGAGGCAGAAGTGGGGCACCTCCAGGCTCCAACGTAGGTTGGGATCGTCAAGCATAAGACTGGCGCCCCAGCGGAGGAGAGGCGCCCCCAGTAGGAATGAGGCACCTCAAGCATAACTTGCGGTTCGCCCAGTAGAAGAGCGCCCTCAGTAGAATACGGGCGACCCCAGCAGAAACGGGCGCCTCACCAGAAGAAGGGCACCCCAGCGCTAGAAGAGCACCCCAGCAGAAAGGGGCGCCCCACCAGAAGAGAGCTGTCTCCAACAGAAAAGGAGCGCCCTCAGCACAAGAAGGGCTCCCCAACAGAAAGGGGGCGCCCCAGCAGGAGAGGGATGCTTCCAGAAGAAGAGAGGCACTCCAATATCAATGGGGCACCTCAAGCAAAAGTTGGGCTCGTCCAGCAGTAGTGGGGCGCCCCTAGCAGAAGAGGAGTGTCCCCAGCATAGGACCGCCCCAGCAGAAAGGGGCGCCACACCAGAAAGGGGCGCCCTACCAGGAGAGGGATGCCTACAGAAGAGAGGCACCCCAATACAAAAGGGGCACCTGGAGCAAAAGTTGGGTTCGTCCAGCAGCAGTGGGGCCGGGGCGCCCTCAGCAGAGGTGGGGCGCCCCTAGCGGCCCCGGCGGAAGTGGGGCGTCCCAGCAGAACAGGGGCTCCCCAGCAAAAGAGCAATGCCCCCAACAGACCTACCCGAGCACCTTCAGCAGAAGTTGGGCGCCCGGCAGAAGAGGGACGCCTCTAGCAAAAATAGAGCATATCAGGGAAGGGAAATGTCAGACTCCAGCAGAAAAGTGAGACCCCAGCAGAGGAGGAGCGCCCATCAGCAGTAAGTCCCGCCGAGCAGAAGAGGGGTGACCTCAGCAGGAGAGAGGCGACCCCAGCAGTAGAAAGGCGCCCAATAAAAAAGGTGATTCCAGCAAAAGTGGGTGTCGCCAGTCGCCGAGCATAAAAAGGGCACACCCCGATTCTATAAAAGGTTGGAATAAAAAAGTAAAATGCAATTTCGTTATAAATTCAATTAATTGATTGAAATTCGTGCGAATGAATCTAATGTCAATTCGTAATACCCAACTTTATGCCATTGGACTGTGGCATTGGGTGTTTAGTGTTCATAGGTACAATTAAAATTGTACATGCAAAAAAAATATTCATTTTATTTCAAAAGTTATTGTAAGTTGTACCTACAAGCAGAAACATCGACTTCCGTTTATCGCTGCGCCAGTTAGGGGGCCTTGGTTTAATATAAATGAATTTCAATCCCATTTGCAACATCAGGCTGTGTTCAAACTAAATCGGAGGAACGTAAAATGGTGATCACTCTCAACTCTCAAGTCTGAATTTCGAAATATACCTACAAAGCATTTTACCGAAATTGAGAGACAAGGACGCACACAAGAGGAGGGGGGGGGGGGGTACACGGGCCCGTGCCCCCCCCCATTCGAAAGGGGGCCCATCTCAAATGGTTCTCAAATGGGCCCCTACTCAAGACCGCCGAAGACTGTCTAAAATGAGCTAAATGGCGATTAAAAAGACCAGGAAAGCCCATCTCGGGCCCCGGCCATACAAGGTCCAGATGAGGCCATACAAGGTCCAGCGCAGTCAAGGGGATGGTGATAGATGTGAAATTTCAACAACCTTCAAAAGGTCCCAAAGCGCCTCCAACTGGCGTCAAAGGGCCCTCAGAATGCCTTAAAGGGCCCTCAGAAGGGCTAGAAGGCCCTCAGTTGGCCGTAAAGGGTCCTCAGGTGGCGTCAAAGGCCCCTCAGATGGCGTCAAAGGGCCCTCAAAAGGCCTGAAAGAACCCTCAGCCGACATCAAACGGCCCTCAGAAGGTCTTAAAAGGCGCCAATGGGCCCAGTGCCGGCGTCAAACGCCCCCAAAAGTGTCAAAGGGCCCTTAGCTGGCGTCAGAGGGCCCCCAGCTGGTGTCAAAGGGCCCCTAGCTGGTGTCAGAGGGCCCTCAACTGGCGTCAGAGGGCCCTAAGCTAGCGTCAAATGGCCCTCCGAATACCTCAAAGGGCCCTCAGCTGGGTCAAAGGGTCCTCAGAAGGCCTTGAAGGGCGTCAAAGGACCATGAGATGGCGCCAAACAGCCCTCCGAAGGCCTCAAAGGGCCCTTAACTGGCGTCAGAGGGCCCCCAGCTGGTGTCAGAGGGCTCTCAGATGACGTCGAAGGGTCCTCAGCTGGTGTCAAACGGCCCTCAGAGGGCCTCAAAGGGCCCTCGGCTGGCGTCAAAGGGTTCTTAAAGGCCTCAAAGGGCCCTCAGGTGGCGTCGAAGGACCCTCAGCAGGCCTCAAAGGGCCCTCAACTGACGTCAAACGGCCCTCCGAAGGTCTCAAAGGGCCCATAGTTGGTGTCAGAGGGCCCCCAGCAGGTGTCAGAGGGCCCTCAGCTGACATCAAAGGGCCCTCATCTGACGTCAAACGGCCCTCAGAAGGCCTCAAAAGGCCCTCGGATCTTCGGGCCCTTTGAGGGCTTCTTCGTTGTGACAGTGCTGCTTTGTCGGTGAGGTGCGCGGTCGCCGTGGGTCCCTCGCTCGCCGCCGGGACAGCGAAAGGTGGGTGATCGGGGCCGTCGTCGGCCGTACATACGTGCCCTGGTACGGGCTTCCTGAATATCTGTTACGACTGGTACCTACTAGGAAAGTGGGCATGCGCCTGAAAATTGTGTCCTTGTAGTTTGTGGTATAAAAGTGAGAAAAGTTAAACCTCTGGTCTGTGATCTCGCTACGAATCATTGTAATTATTTTTCATGTCTACTCGTATGTGGCTAAATAAATATGCGTATTGACAAAGGGGGTGCTTCCCCGCTCATACACATCCGGGCTTACCCGTGACTAGCCTCCGCTTCTAGCTAGCCAGTAGCCGGGGTCGGTCGGCCGGCTGGCAGTCAGGCGCTACCCGGGCTGATTTTTGAGGGCCTTGCATCCACGCTTATTAATCGAATATTTTACGTGATTGTTAAGATGGTGATTACTAATCACTGAATCGTAGTTGAATGAAACATGCTGCGTAAACAAAAATAGAACATTCAATGCTTTGAAAATTGAACGGGTACTGAAGCAATTGTTTTATCATGTATCGACAAAAGCCAACTTTCAAGTCAACCGAAATATAATCGCGTTGGGGAACTTTTTCGGCTGGGGCCTGGGGCCCTTCGTCATGGGGGGGGGGGGCAGTTTGAAGGTCGTGCCCACCCCGTTCAAAAATCCTGTGTGCGCGCCTATTGAGAGATATGCACCATCTATGCTCCTTGGAAGCGCCCCTATATCCTCATTGAATGTCGCCCCCATCACCAAGTGCACCCCCATCTCAAAAGCAAAAGTTACACCCCTGGTCTGTTCCGCCTGATCGGCGCCCACTTCCGAGTAGGAAACGCGGAGACGGCGTTGCGAAGTGTGTTACCAATCGTGTTCTGCGAGATAGCGTGAATGGTGCGGGAGCTTATGTTGACGTCCATGTGTGAAGATGTAATATATGCATAAAGATATGCAGCCTCATTTGTCTTGGCAGTCCACGTAAGACACGGATATCAGAGCACCTAAAACTACTGCTTACTTTGCCACCGACTTAAACGGCAACCACCCAAAGTTCTATGCCTCGGTCGGACATCCCCAAACAGGCACTACAACAGACCCACATCAAATTCCATTTCGTCATAAACCAATTTGCACCTCATGAGCTGTCTCGCCAGTCATCGCCATCCCCACCCATCCTCAAACGCATCATTTGTGTTCATATTCTTTCCTTGTATTTCAATGGTGTGGCGAGCCTCCACCTGCGTCCGGTCTCCCGCGGACAGCAGGTGGACAGTTGGTTGCTCGGTCTGTGTTCGCCTCTGGGCCCAGCGGCGGGCGGCGTCGGCCGCCGCCCGCCGCGCCTCCTTTCCTCCCTCGCGCCGGCACGCCCGGTTACGCAGCACAAAGTAACGGCAGTCGGTCTCCTTCAGTCCCACACACGTCAGATTACGCTCCGGCGCGCAAAAATAGGTTCACAATTTGTTATACAGGACTTTCTCTCGTCTCGGACGGCGCCGGACGCAGCCGGCGCGGTGACAGCCGCCCCTTTTGGACACGCGCAAGTCAAGTGTATAACGTGTAAGGTACCCTCGGCTGGAGGGCGCAGTATAACGCCCCTCCAACAGAGGCTACAAAGTATAAACGAAGCAAACTGGTCGTCAGAACCTGCAGCGCTTCAAGTGAATCTGGAAAATCCTAAGACATTCACGCACCAAATTGCGACCGACAGCCCGCGACACAATTTGTACTGTTCCCTAAAAGATATTGCCACGCACACAATCACGCATGGAGACTAGACTGGATCAGAAGTCGCGGGCTTGAGACCGCCGGGCCGGCACACGGAGGGCGCTGCCGCTGCCGCGGCCCTCGTGGCGGCGGGCCCGGCGCCAGTCCTGAGATCAGCGCCGGCGACCGCCCGGCCGCCCAGCACCCTTGCATCAGTGGAAGAATGCGTGCGCGAATCGTGTGCGTGGCCCGGCGCGGCCGGCCCGGACCCCAGGTCGGGCCGAAGCCGCCCGCCGGTACAGGAAACAGACAGACAGAACAGACGCGCGCTCCGTGCGCACCGGGCCGCGCCTTCGGTCCGTTCGCCAGTCGTCAGTCCAGCTCCACACTGCTCTCCGTAACGCTACTAATAAATAACCAGAGGCGCGTGCTGCGCGCGGGCCGGCCGGCCCACCGGCCCCCGCCGGCGGCCGGCCGGTCAGTCTCAGATCGCACGCTGTCCCGCGGCGCGGCGCGCCGGCCAGCCCGGCCGCGCGCCGACGCCCGAAGGAGGGACCTGGGGCGGAGATACCGGCCGTCCGTGTCACCGGACGCCGTCACATAGTCGGTCCTGTTCTCCAGCTCTCTCTCGCGCGCGCACAGCTCACACGAGCGCGCGCTTACATCACACCGGCTCGGCTCGCGATTTGGGCACGCCAGCTGACAATTTCGGCCCAGGAAAGAATACAACAGTTTACCATATTTACCTCTAAACGACGCACCAGCTCCCCGGGTTGGCCCGACCGTGAGGGAACATGGAAAGAAAACACCTAAGCGCCGTCCGCCGCGCCTCTGTGAACTCTCGGATAGGGGATTAACTCTTGAGTAATGCTGTTGTTCTAAGCACACAAACGCACAAGAAAACAAACGAAACACTCAGTTTCCTACGCAGCGGAATGATAACTTTAAAACGTCGTAAAACACACACCCACACACACGCACGCCCAGTGCTGCGAGGCGATCGCGCCTCGGCTGGGGCGCGTCCGGCACGGCCGGGGAGCGAGGCCCGCTCCCACCGGCCTCAGGCGGCCGGGCTGGGCGCCGGGGGCGGGCCGGCGGCGCCACCCCCGGCCCTATCACAATGTGTTGCGTGTGGGGAGTGAGCACCTGTCGGCGTGCGGCGGCAGCGGCGGCGGCGGCGGCGGAGAGCTGCAGGCGCCCGGGGCGCTGCAAAACGGGAACTACGACAGAGACAGTGACAGTCGGTCGGCCGGGGGCGGCCACTGGGGTGGCCGGGGAGCTGACCGGCGGCCTTAGTTGCCGCCCCACCAGCTGTCGCTGGAGCCGCCGCCGCCGCCGCCCGGAGCCGCCGCGTACGTGCCCCCGTAGCCGCCCATGGGCTGGTAGCCGCCGTAGCCGCCCATCTGACCGTACGGCTGGTAGCCGCCGCCGCCGCCGCCCATCTTACCGCCCTGGTAGCCGCCGCCGCCACCGCCGCCGCCCTTGCTGTAACCGCCGTTGCGGTTCTGTTGACGCACGTCGCGGCCGCCAAAACCGCCGCCGAACCTGCACACACACAGACGCGAGGGAGAGTGTCAGTTGCAGGACGCGGAAAACGCTCCGGTGAGGCAATAGCAGACGCAGATCAGTTATATCGAGAACAGCTCACAGCGTTGGTTTGAGCGTCTGCCAACAAGATACCAGTCACCACAACACAGATGAAACACTGGGAGGTTTGGGACCGAGCATTGAGCATTATCATGCACGAACGCAAGCACCATAAAGCAATGGAAACTCGTTAATAGCCGTAAATAGTGTCGCAGTACTTATATTGACAAGAAGCTTTAGACCAAGCTGACACTGACTATAATTCTAAAGCGGATGATGCAATGCCAAAGCATAATCTACTTTCACAATCAGTTGCATATCGTAAGCTCATTAGGTTGCAACATTATCGCATTGTCTTAAAATCCGTTAGCAAATATTAACGGGTACACTGAAAAGGAAAACAGTCTGTCTCATCCGCAGCAATAAATACACAGAGAATGGAAGCAATTGGAGCACTATAACCGCTCGATGGCCTATGACAACCATCCCTCCCCGACCCCCACCCCGCCCACTGCCTCTCCAGTCCCCACTCACCGTTTTCCGCCGCCGCGCCGGCCTCCTCCGCCGTGCATCCTGTGCACCTCCATGCTGTAGTTCTCCAGCCAGTCGGGTACCACCTGCTTCGTCTCCGTCAGCAGCTCCTGCAGGTCGCGCACCAGGCCACGGTTGCCCTCGTTGAAGAAGCTCGTGGCACGTCCCGTGTTTCCCATGCGTCCTGTGCGACCGATACGGTGCACGTACTCCTCAATATCGGACGGCAGGTCAAAGTTGATAACGTGCTTGACGTGCGGGATGTCCAGACCACGCGCCGCCACCGCCGTGGCCACCAGGATCGGACAGCGGCCGCTGCGGAAGTGTTTGAGCGCCAGCTCGCGCTCGCCCTGGGAGCGGTCGCCGTGGATCGAGGTGACCGGGTAGTTGTTGCGGTAGAGGAAGTCCTCCAGATGGTCGGCGCCGCGCTTCGTCTCGACGAACACCAGCGTCAGCGACTCGCCGGCTGGTGGAGAAAGGGGGGAGGGTCAGAACAGGGTGGGGACACATTACAACACAACAGCAGTGGAGAGATAGGAGACGGCGGACGCAGGTGACGCCACGGTAGCCGGCGCGGCCGACAGAAAGATCCATCAGATACGGCATACGAGGATAGTCCGGTCCGCTATACGAGTGCAGATAACATAGGATGTATGTACCCTCACGAAAATCCCATGGTGTAGCTGCTTTGAAATGCGGTTTTATACAAAGAGCCCAGGATTGAATGTTCTATTCTTGGTAAACACCATATTTAATGTGTCTGATTTTTTTTTTTCCAGCAAAGGCAGCATGCCTCAAAATACATGCCAATGTAGTATGCACATCACTACATGCTAAAATCGATTGAAAAAAGCACGGCAGCCACCATTATTCCTGTCTTACCCAGCAAGCCCCACAAGTATGGAACCAATCTCGACTCACGGACCGAACACTACTCGACTCCCCCGCGCGTCCACTCACGTTTCTCCTCGCCGTCCTGCGGCGTCTCCTGCAGCAGGTCGAGCAGATGAGACTTCTTCTGGTGATCGTCCACCCAGATGATGGTCTGGGTGATGTTCTCAGACGTCGAGCCCACGCGGCCCACCGCCAGGAAAATGTAGTCGTGCAGGAAGTCCTGGGCCAGACGCTGTCGAAACAGAGACAAAATATAGGTTAGAGTGGTTCAGGGGTGGTGTAAAATAACGGACGAAACGCCTACGGGCATTTTGTTTTACCGAAAACGCAATGGCTGAAAAGTAAATATGGAGCTTAGCGATAAAAAACTGGCAAATTAATCTCTGCTCAACACATGAACTCCCATAAATCTCGTTCTTACTTTTGAAAAGAAAGACAGACACTATAGCTCTATTTACGGATTTCATATTATCACAGGATGAACTGCAACAAACGCCCTAAGCCCGCTATCCTATGCCGCTGTGTGCACGGCGCACGCACCTGGATCTCCTTGGGGAAGGTGGCCGAGAACATCATGGTGTGCCGGTCCTGCGTTCTCGGCATCGTGTCCTGCTCCACGATCCGACGAATCTGCGGCTCGAAACCCATGTCCAACATCCTGTAAACAGAGAGATCAGGCGGGGATCAGTGATCGCGTCATGACCAGGCCAAGACCGAGTCTGCTGCGCAAAACCTGACCTCTACCATCCGCTCCCCAAATAGCGCCAAAGTAGAGCTGCAGAAAACAAGTTCAACTTTGCGGAGCGCCCGGCAGCCGGGTCCGCTTTACTCTCAGGCTGTCTCATAACAGACCAGCTGTTCAACAAACTGCGCAACCCAGCGGAGAGTTATGTCTCGGAAAGTCAGCCACTCCTAGAAAGGAATTTCATCGGTTGAGTCAGGAGTATGTAACTATGAGCTGACTAAATTACATGACAGTGAATGCACAATATTGACATCCAAAGTTATGAGTTCCCTCGCCCAATCTAGCCTTTTTACGTCCTTTAAACCTACTGTATCTCTCGACGGATAAACGAGCATCAGTCACCATCCCAGCCTATCCCATATCCTAATTCTCTCCCGTCCATCCACTCTCACCTGTCGGCCTCGTCGAGCACCAGATAGCGGCAGTTGTCGAGGCCGACCTTGCCTCGCTCCAGCATGTCCACCAGTCGGCCGGGGGTGGCCACCAGTAGATGGCAGCCCCGCTCCAGGTCGCGCATCTGACTGCCCACATCAGCGCCTCCGTACACGACACACGGGCGCACCCGGGAGCGGTACGAGAACTTGCGCGCCTCGTTGTAGATCTGTGTGGCCAGCTCGCGGGTCGGCGCCAGCACCAGGGCGAGCGGGAACTGCTTCCTGCGGCCGCCCATCGGACGCTGTGAAGGGGAGAAACAACGCCGGTGAAAAAGGTGACGTAGCGGGAAATTCGAGACAACAAAATCTATGATAGAATATACAGTTCCACAAAATGGTGTCAAGGATACATACAAAAGATAATTAAAACAAGTTCTTCTATGGAAAAAAGACCTATCAACCACAAAAGCGCGGCACCTCTTCCTTCAGTCCTACATCCTCTGCCCAGCACATAGCCACCGCCGTCACCACTGAGGCGCTCACTCACCTTGGGGTCTTGGCTGGCCAGCTGCGGTCCAACCAGGAAGATCTGGTTCAGTACGGGCACCAGGAAGGCGGCCGTCTTGCCCGAGCCCGTCTGGGCGCAGGCCATCAGATCTCGCTGCTTGAGAATAATCGGGAACGAGTACTTTTGCACCGGCGTCGGCGTGGTGTACTTGGCCAGTGTGATGTTCTCCACGATGATGGGCGTGAGGTCCAGCTCGTTGAACGACTTGATGCAGTCGGGTACGTCGTTACCGGTGGCGTCCACCGGAATGTCGTCGTACTTGTCAAAGTTGATGCCGGTCGTCGCCTGTAGGAAGGGTAGGGAGGGGAGGGGAGGTGTCAGAAGCCGACAGACGCCACCCGGCCGCCGGCAGAAAGTTGTAACCGCGCCCAGAGACGGCCGGGGGCTATACGGTTGGCGGCCGGCGGTCATTCGGAGCGGAGACGAGCCGCTAAAACTAGCCGCGCCGACGGTCAGTGAAAGGGCAGCGTCAAATTCAGAACACCAGCTACACCTAATTCCATTAGTGAAATACCACCAAAGCTTTCTAATGGGTAGCCGAAATGAGTCTTTCAGACTTGCCTTTCAGCAAATTGTTATATCCCCCAACAGCGTCTTTACTTTCTAACGCTACCTGAGAAACGTATTTCGGAGGATTTTATACACAGTACACGATACAACAATAACACACCAATCTCATCTACTCCGTCGATATGGGTTGCTCACCGACTTGAAGAGCTCCTCCTCGATCCGCGAGTCGCGCGGCATCGGCGTGGTCCAGTCCTGGTCGCTCACGCTCGGCTCCTTCCAGCGGTCGTTACGCTGCAGCTGGTCCCCCTCTCGGTCCCCGCCCCAGCGGTCACCGCCACTGTGGGAGGGGGGGGGGAGGGCGGGGGTCAGACAGTGACCTTCACAGCAGGTGCCACCGAGCAGCGTCAGCCGCCCGCCGGCAATCACACACAGACGCGGTCTGCTTGTACAGACAGACGAAACAGATCATGTTACAAGTCGGTGTGCCATTACCACCACTGCGTCGGACCGCGGCAGGGTGTCATATTGCGATGGCAATTAACGTGATTATTTTGCATTCTGGACGGTATGCGTGAGGAATTTGACACCTAACTCCCAGCTGCGATCGATGTGACGGCTAAGACAGCGCGACTACCGAGCGATCTAACAGTAACACCCAGGGACTAAGGTAGCAGGCTGACACGTGCCGGGACGGACGGTGGGGGAGCCAGAGACGGCGGGGGACGAGCGAACGAGTCATGCGATACCGCCGACATAACATACTAGGAGCGGGCACAAGGAAAACTGGCGCCGTGACGGCTCATCAGTGGGGTGAGACGGGCCGCCCCGCGGGCTATCTGAGCCCCTCCGCGGGCACCAGAGCCGATAGTGGGAGCCTGACACGGGCTATCGCACTTCCCACACGACCGGCCGACGGGAGGGCAGGCGGCGGGGTCACCCGTGCCCAGTGGTATCGGCAGTCGGCAAACTAGCGTTCCACCAGATTGAAACTGAGTCCCTTCCCAGTGGGGAAAGCTTTGCAGAATGTAACGTACCGTACTAATCGGGAAGTAATGGCACATCAATACTAGCAACTCTAAACTGGCTACCTTCGTGAGGTTCATAATAAATCTCATGTAACTCTTGCAACTCATAAATAGGTCCCAAATGCCGTTGTGTAGGCGGTCCCTACGACCATCGCATCAAACATGCCCGGAAGGAGATTAGGCTCGAGGCGAAGGTCAAGAAGGCTTCCTTGTTCGTGAACTTCAAATGAGTCAGCCTGTCGGATAGCTGAAAAGTTAACCCATACAGGAAACTTGGCGAATTATTCGCAAAGCTACAGCTCGCATGGGAAATAGTTGAAATGCAGTCCGGCAAAGTTTAGGCAAGTTGCGGAATGCCGTCCGAGCCGAGACAAGCCCACGGCAAACATAATGGCCCAGGAGACTGCCTAGTCATGGTGACCTCGTTAAATCTTACCGCAGCACATGAGACTCGTCTCCCAACCGGAGCTTAGAGAGGCATGATGACGAGTGATGTGATAAACGCCATGGCCGGGAACCCCCGCTCTACCCCCGCGGCAGAACACTAAGCTGACCCTGTGATCTCCGCTCCCCTCCCCAGCGAGCTCATCAAGGTACAGAGAGCGAGCGGCAGAGGCGACGTCTGGTCCCTGTCACGGTCAGACTGATCATCGGGGCTTCCCGGTCGCCCCTCCCCCGCACCGACCGTCTGGCAGAGTGCCGGCGGCACACCGCGGGGGCGAGGTCGGTGGCCGGTGTCCGGGGGCGAGGGCGGGGGCGGGGGCGGCGTGAGTCAGCTGTGACGGCCGCCCCCGCCGCCAGCACACGATGGCGGGCTCCAACACGTCACAACAGGCGGCGGCAGCGCTCGACCCCCGGTCTCGGCACGCCGCAGGAGAGCCGGCAATCTCGGGAGTCGGGACCACCGCGGCGGCGGCCGCTCGGAGCCGGACGTTACGGGAGTCCCCGGGAGGGATCAGCCGCATACAGACACTACTCCCCCGGCCGTGATGACAGGCCACTCACCGGTTATTGTTCCAGGTGTTGCCGCCGCGCCGGTCGCCAAATCCGCGGTCGCCACGGTCGTACCGTCCTCCGCCATATCTGTGGGTGAGGGACGACCGACGGCCGTCAGCTGAGGTTCAGAGGCTGGGACAGCAGCGGCAGCGGGCTGGGCTGCCGGTGCTGTCCGGTTACAGCGGCGGCCGGATTTAATTACAGACCGCACTCGGCGGATTACAGAAGTGAGCCGGTTCAAAGACGGCTCACGTAACTCACAAAGAGTTATCAAAATTTGACAGCACTAGATGCCGGGTGAAGCCCGACAGAGCTGTTTCGTAAACAAACGTCATCCACGTCGGTAGTAGCATGCAACAGCTCATAATCGTTGACATGCATGAATAAAAACGTTAACTGAACTGAACTAATTAGTCATGCACAAAAATGCTCGCATAGAATCACGGAAAATACCAGGCGCATAGAGTTTAACAGACTCATGAGATTCTGATGGCCTAAGAAACGCACCATATGCAGCCCTCGGGACAACCTGGCACTTTCCGCAAATCCCTAGAGGCGATCATGCAAGCTACGGTATTCCGGGCAGAATAAATTTTGAAAAGACTGGAATGGCATTTGAAAAATTCAGCAGCGTTCACCAAAGATCCTTCCGTCATTGGAAAATACCATGAATCACGAGTCGATTGCGAAATGAAATTTGGTAATAATATCCAAGGGCGAATAACATGCGATAATCAACATCGCATATATCGTTACCGTGATCACTAAGCCATTGCTTCCAAATGCCTTGACCTTGTCCGGAAAAAATCTACCGGCTGATAAGTCCGACATCTGATTAACAAGCTGAATATGCTAGACTGCCAGCGTAATTCGCCAGTCATGAGTGATCGGCCAGCAGCTTAGCTGACTTCTGCCAAAATATCCGGATATCACAAAACTGCCGTGCACGCCAAGAACGGTGCATAACGTTTGTGATGATTAGCACCGATTACACAGATAACATAAAGAAAAATAGAGTCCTAGCGAGCCGGACTGCGACTCTCGGCCGCGGCCTGCACGGCGGGCCGCCCGCGCTGGCGGACGGAGCAGAAATTTCGCTGGGAGCCCGGAGTGGTGAGTGATAGCTGGCAGCGCGGCGCGCCCCGATCCAGTCACTGTTGCACTGCACTGGCCGCGCGCGACCGCGCCGCCGCCGGCGCAGTGCCGGCGGCGGTGCGGGCGCGCGCCCGAAATTGGTGCCCTGTCGGCGGGCGGAGCGGACCCGTTGGATGGCCGGTCCGAGAAGCCGTAGCCGCGGTCTCTGTCGCCGTACCCGCCGCCGCCGCCGCGGTTATAGCCGCGGTCGAACGAGGACGGCATGGGCGGCGGCGGGCCGCGGGGGTCGTAGCCGCCGCCATAGCCGGGCCGGCCGCCGCCGCCGCCCCCGTACCCGCCACCCGGACGGCCGCCGCCGCCTGCAACACGCACCAGACACAACGGGGCGTCACAACAGCAGTGGCACAGACATGTGGAACTGTTCATACCACACATGACCTACATAATAGATACAACTGAGTACTGACTTTGATAAAAGCAGCATAGCAAACACTAAGCCCAGCATGCCCAAAACAAATTTATGATCACATCAAATTCAAGCAGGTCCATATTAGAAAATTATGTAACCTAAGAAATTAGAATAACCTAAGCAAGCTGAACTCATGCAGCCAGAACTCTCAACATTTCCACTCACTATGAGTGACAGCTATATTACATAACTATCCACAAAACGCATTTCTTTTGACACCAGATTGTCCAAATGTACACCTGTAAATGAACTCTATGCTATCATCTGCCATGTCATTAACAGACATAGATAAGCAAAGTAGATCATTCACATACAATAGTTGCCTTGCCCGATTACTACTCTATTTATGAAAAAAACTGAAGATCAAACGACTGAAAAATACCTAACAAGATAAATTTAGAACTGATAAAAACTGGAAGTATCTATGACATCAGCAGATGAAGCAGCTGAGTTGAACTGCTCAACTTAATAATGCAGTTCTCATAACATAACTTCAAAAATAGATAACTTCAACAAAATTGAACAATTTCACAATTTGCAAGGTTATATAACCTTGGTATTTTATCAAGCATTCTAGATACTCCTTCAACTCTCCTTATAAACCTGCCAAATGGCTTAACTTTTACAACCAGTTAAACAAAACCAAATTAAGCTTGGTGAAACTCTGAGATTCCGCTTGTCCTTGAACATCACAGGAAAATTTAGTGGCAAGAAACCATTAATGCTATTATATTAGCACTTACCTCTGTAATTTCCAAAGCTTGCTCCACCTCCATCCATCCCACCACCTTCCATTCGACGGTTTGGTGGGACATATCTGTTTGTGTTCTGTTGAGGGGGACCACCTTGACCACCTCCGCGGATGTCTAACCCAGCAAACTGGAAAGATCAAATGCAAATAAATCAAACAATGCACAGCTTCTGGCCCAACACCATTGCTTGACAGAAAATAGCAAAAACAAAGCATAAATCAACAAATATTAACGCTTTGGTTGCGCCATTGGATGACGAAAATCACCGGTAGGCAATAGTGGCGCAATAAAGAAAACTCACCTGCTGATCTAGACCAATCCCATTTTGGTTAGGTACATTACTCATAGCACAAAGTTATTGAAAAAGGTTCCTTTAACCACCTTAGCTTCTTGTTTGTTTCAGAATGCTTGATAAAGCTAAGTGAATCAGTAACAAAGGATAGTAACGGTTCCCCGTCCGGCTTCCCCGTAACACCAGCGCCGCCGTTTCAATCAAAATGATTCTTAAGTGTATACTCTTTTCACAGAATTTAATAAACTAGAAACGCTTTTTGTATTTTCGAAACGTTAAAATTTTAAGTAATTTAGAAAATACTTGCTTTGAAAACTATCCTGAAAAATTAATTTATTTCATCACAGACAGCGTTGCGATTAGCGTCCTTTTCCGTTTTGTATGACCTGCGATTTAGGTGAATTTGTTTTTACAATCGGTTTTTGGTGTTGGTATTGGAATTATCAAATTTCATCTTCAGTTATTCATGTTTCAGCTTCTATTTAACGATTTTTTCCGGCCCAGAAATGTCGCTTGATATATCTTTGTCGCTGCGTTGCAGGTCATCATGGGACGCGTCATCCGCGCCCAGCGTAAGGGAAGGGGGTCAATTTTCACGGCCCATACCAAGCACAGGAAGGGTGCCCCTAAGCTGCGTAGTTTGGACTATGCTGAACGTCATGGCTACATCAAGGGAGTGGTCAAGGTAAGTCAATTGTTTTCTAATTGTAATTTGAATTGAAATTAATCTGCATATCCTTGCAAAACAGGGCAGTTTCACGGCCCAACACTGCTGCGTTGGTGTGGCATTTGAGACTAATTCCGTTAGGCGCTCCAGCGTCATGGGCGTCTGGGTTTGTTGATGTTTCAATGGAAACCCAGTCGGGCGCACTGTGGTATCTCAGATTCATTTATGGAGACGTTTCTATTATTGGAAACGTTTCCAATTTTGACTACTCTTCAGTTCCAAAAATGGAAACGCTCGTTCCATAAATAGAAACGCTAACATCTCCGCACATATTTTCTTGCCAAGGGTGGCTGGATTCGATGTATAACAACTGTTTCGCGTAAAACAAGCTCAGATACACCAAAAGCACTTGTCTTCTTGCATGGAAAGCTGTCGTATGCATTAAAATTCACGTCTTTAAAATGCTCCTGAATCGTATCCATTTATGGAGACTTAGTTTCCAAAAATGGAAACGCTGATGTTCCAAAAATAGAAACGCTGAAGTTCAAATGTGTGCAAACTTAGCTTAAATGTGTTTTTGAAATTCACATGCGACTAAAAATTTGATGTTTTGGGACTGGTTTAGCATCTTGGCTCTCGGCAGTTACCTTGGACGTCGGGTTCGATAATAATACCTTACGCGCCGCAACTTGAGCACATTCAAAAGTCAACTAAAACTAAGATTTCCCAGAAACTACTGGACAGATGTGGTCCAAAGTGGGCAATACATAAAGCGTAGATATCATTTCAATATATAAAATTAATATCAATGTTACACATGAGCTAGAATGAATAAATTCATCGTCAGAATACAACGGTATTTGGTGTGACGACGGTGCAGACCTTATTTCCATCCTGCTTTTTACGTATTTGCACGGAGATTTACGTTGATCCGAGCCTACGATCATATTCAGCACATTTGAAATATCATAAAATGCCCACTTAAGTCTCCAAATAGGGCTTTGCAACAACTTTCATGCGATTTAATCAAAGATTGACGACCACCAGGCCGCTGGTACACCGGAAAACGCAGCGTGAAAATGAATGAAAAACTGAAGTTCCCGGTGATGTGGTTGTTCCAATCAATGGGTCAGTCTTTCAGTAGTCTGTTAAAAACGTTATTTTTTGTTCAAAACATTCATAAATGTTATTATTTTCGATTAGAAAAACGTGTGAATTTTTTATCACGTCAACATGTTATAAGCATCGCCTCGTTCGTCAACTTTCGGTTTTCTGATCGGAAAGTCGGAGAACAGGAACATAAACTAGAATGCTGGCTGTCGATTGGTGGCATCCTGCGCATGCCAAATTGCACCAATCAATGCCCAGTTTGCTTTAAAGGTAGCGATGCACACAGCGTCTCCATTTATGGAACAGATCGTTTCTATTTTTGGAAACGGCGTATCCATTTTAGGAACATTGTTCCAAAAATGGAAACGTTTCCATAAATGGATCGGAAATACCACAGTGTGCCCGACTGAACCCACAGCATGGCTGCGCACAGCGTGCTGCTGTGAAACACCACCCAGGTGGAAGTGTGCTGGATTGTTTCGCAGCACACCACTACATGACACTATCAGGTGCTGCTGCCAGGTTCCTGTGAAACCAAACTGCAATTCTGGTTATCGTATTTATGGGAGCTATCAATAATTATCTAAATAATGTGTGGTGCACAGTGAAATGGCCCCAAATGACTGGCACATGGTGATTAATGATTATTCACCTTTCTTTCTCATTGTAGGAAATGTATGGTTCCAAGTATTTTATGCTTGCTTATAGTGCAATTGGTCATTGCATCTCGACTCTAAATTCTCTAGTTCTAGTTTTGCAGAAGTTTCATGTTTTGAAATTGGATGCACAATTAACCTACATATCAAACAGATTCATAGATGATTTTGGATTATTGTGTTTTGTCATATAAAGTAAAAACTTATCTTTGAGCTCCCAGCTAGGCTGTGGTTAAGTTTGTTAGCTGTTAAGATATTATTTCAAACAGGTAACACTTAACTTTTACCTCATATAACCTGTTTGCTCAAGCATTTTAGTCTGATAAATCTGACCACTTGCATATCCAGGCTGTATTTTCTATTTGGGACAAACTGCTCACCCTTTCAACATCCAAAGTCTATGAAAATTTTGCTGTTTTTGCTGAATAGATCTGTCACAAAGTGTAAGCCAAATTTAAGCACCATCAGCTGCTCAGCTGTTCTCTACATGGGGAGCAGTCCTTGAACCGCATGAGCCATGCACTAATAGCCACTTTGACTTGCAAAGGCTTTATTCAACGAACAACAGGGCATGGCACCTGACAAAAGAAAAGCCAGTAAGCACGTGCCACAAACAGAAAAGTAGCTGCAGTATGCAGCAGTCACCCACATTATGCATCATGCAGATGGAACATGTTACATCAAAATTCTCTGTGTGGTGGGTGTTTCACTTTTGTCCACTTAATCTTTCAATGGGGGTGCTTTATTGACCATGTAATTGATCAGTACACTACACCCAGTCAATATGAACTAATAGCCTGAGGAACTTTACACATCTGATTTGGCATGTGACACATGCCATGCCAGTAGCCCATATGCATAAAAAAGTTAAACTCATGATTGAAAGGATTGGGTTATCCAATACAGAAGACTGTTTGTCGGTCGGCCAAGCAGCGTCCGAGATTAACAAGGCTGTGAAAAATGTCACTGGGTAGGATTTTCTGCTACTCATGTGCAATTGCGAGTAAACCCATAGAAATCTGGTAAACCAGCGAAAAATTGGCGCACTCGCTTGAAACACCTGCCAGTGTAATAAACAAATGCTTATATTTCATGTTTACCCCAAAATAACACACATTGTGGTCGGGCTTGGATGACATATTCGTCGACTGTAAAAGCAACAGCTGCATTACCTGCATGCACTGTCTTTGCTTCTGCTCTGACAAAGTGCACATGACACCATTTTCCACGGACAAACTGAATTTATTATAGCATTATTGTGCAGGAACTCAAACATGCTTATATAGTTACTCCCTTGTGTCTGTATAATCTGCCCTAACACCCACCCATGACATGATGATTTGATATCTCTGAAGCCAATGCTGAACCCCGCATTTTCGACCAAGAGGCTGTTTCTGATGTACCCATGACAAGTTGGTGTTATTGAAGTGTTTGTACGGACTTTTCACCCCCCCCCCCCTGTTATCTGACAGGAGCTGATCCACGACCCGGGCCGCGGCGCGCCGCTGGCCGTCGTCCACTTCCGCGACCCGTACCGCTACAAGACGCGCAAGGAGCTGCTGCTGGCCGCCGAGGGCATGCACACGGGCATGTTCATCTACTGCGGCGTCAAGGCGGCGCTGCAGATCGGCAACGTGCTGCCCGTCGGCCGCATGCCCGAGGGCACCATCATCTGCAACCTGGAGGAGAAGTCGGGCGACCGCGGCCGGCTCGCCAGGACATCCGGTGAGCGAGGCCGCGCCCGGCGGTGGATTTAGTCTGGCCGTGGGACGGGTTTTGCCGTTGCCGATAATTTAATTTTGAAATTTTACGATATTTTTGCCAAATGTGATAAATGCCAGAGGTTATCGAAGATCCTTGACTTGTGTAGTTGCAAAATCTCCTATTGTAAATTAGCACAAGGTCAGACAGCACATCAGAATGCGAGTTCACATGTATGCAGTTTTGTGGTTTGAAGTTATTTAATTGCTGCTACTCCGATTCCTCGGTTGAATCCTTATACTATATCGTGTATGATGATTCGTTTTGTCTGAAGCTAATGCTGAAACTCTCCGCATTATCGACCAAGAGGCTGTTTCTGACTGCGTCCCCTCCCACCCAAACACGGCCGGGTCTGCGTCCCTCCCTGACACATCTCCGCTATGCCTCTTGGCAGGCAACTACGCCACGGTTGTGTCGCACAACCCGGACACGAAGAAGACGCGCATCAAGCTGCCGTCCGGCTCCAAGAAGGTGATCCCGTCGGCCAACCGCGCCATGGTCGGTGAGTGACCACCTGCTGACGAGAGGGAGACAGCTGACTGGAGGGGGAGGAAGCCAACCCCGGGAGGGGCCTGATGAAACAGGTTACTGAGTGGCGCTGGCTGGATGGAGCTGAGTCGAGGGTGGGTTGTGACGGAAACGTGGAGGGATGAAGACGGGATTTGAATATTTGGGTTGTGGGGTGGAAGACCGTTTTACAGTTCAGCAGGTCCAGCTTGTTGTTTAAGTGTTGCTTTAGAACAACTTTGCTCGTTATGGTATTCTGGAAGTAATTTGTCTCGATCTTTGTTTCCTTTGATGCCGTAGTGCTCTTGCCAAGAAATGACACCCAATTTCTCTATTTATAATTCATTGTCAATTTCTCGGCACGTCAATGTTATGTTTTGCGATCTATGCACCTTCTGACTGGCCATCCTGGTCGGCTGCAGGCATCATCGCCGGCGGCGGCCGTACCGACAAGCCCATCATGAAGGCCGGCCGTGCCTTCCAC